GTTGAGGTAGGTTCCCTCTATGCCCACTTTCTGGAGAGTTTTTATCAAAAATGGGTGTTGAATTTTGTCAAATGCTTTTTCTGCACCCATTGAGATGACCATATAGTTTTTCTTTTTCAATCTGTTAATAAGGTGTATCACATTGATTGATTTGCATATATTGAAGAATTCTTGCATCCCTAGGATAAATCCCACTTGATCATGGTGTATGATCCTTTTAATGTGTTCTTGGTTTCTGTTTGCTAGTATTTTGTTGAGGATTTTTGCATCTATATTCATCAGTGATATTGGTCTCTAATTTTCTTTTTTGTAGTATCTTTGTCTGGTTTTGGTATCAGGGTGATGGTGGCCTCATAGAATGAGTTTGGGAGTTTTCCTTCCTCTGCAATTTTTTGGAGGAGTTTGAGAAGGATGGGTGTTAGCTCTTTAAATGTTTGATAGAATTCACCCGTGAAGCCATCTGGCCCTGGACTTTTGTTTGTTGGAAGATTTTTAATCACAGTTTCAATTTATTACTTCTGATTCATCTGTTCATATTTTCTATTTCTTCCTGGTTCAGTCTTGGAAGGTTATACCTTTCTAAGAATTTGTCCATTTCTTCCAGGTTGTCCATTTTATTGGCACAGAGTTGCTTGTAGTAGTCTCTTAGGATGCTTTGTATTTCTGCAGTGTCTGTTGTAACTTCTCCTTTTTCATTTCTAATTTTATTGATTTGAGTCCTCTCCCTCTTTTTCTTGATGAGTCTGGCTAATGGTTTATCAATTTTGTTTATCTTCTCAAAGAACCAGCTCTTAGTTTTATTGATCTTTGCTATTGTTTTCTTTGTTTCTATTCCATTTATTTCTGCTCTGATCTTTATGATTTCTTTCCTTCTGCTAACTTTGGGTTTTGTTTGTTCTTCTTTCTCTAGTTCCTTTAGGTGTAAGGTTAGATTGTTTATTTGAGATTTTTCTTGTTTCTTGAGGTAGGCTCGTATAGCTATAAACTTCCCTCTTAGAACTGCTTTTGCTGCATCCCATAGGTTTTGGATCATCATGTTTCATTGTCATTTGTGTCTAGGTATTTTTTGATTTCCTCTTGATTTCTTTGTGATATCTTGGTTATTTAGTAATGTATTGTTTAGCCTCCATGCGTTTGTGTTTTTTACGTTTTTTCCCCGTAATTGATTTCTAATCTATAGCGTTTTGGTCAGAAAGGATGCTTGATATGATTTCAATTTTCTTAAATTTACTGAGGCTTGATTTGTGACCCAAGATGTGATCTATCCTGGAGAAAGTTCCATGCACACTTGATAAGAAAGTGTAATCTATCTGGTTTTGGATGGAATGTCCTATAAATATCAATTAAATCTATCTGGTCTATTGTGTCATTTAAAGCTTCTGTTTCCTTATTAATTTTCTGTTTGGATGATCTGTCCATTGGTGTAAGTGAGGTGTTAAAGTCCCCCACTATTATTGTGTTACTGTCGATTTCCTCTTTTAGAGCTGTTAGCAGTTGCCTTATGTATTGAGGTTCTCCTATGTTGGGTGCATATATATTTATAATTGTTATATCTTTTTCTTGGATTGATCCCTTGATCATTATGTAGTGTCCTTCCTTTTCTCTTGTAACATTCTTTATTTTAAAGTCTATTTTATCTGATATGAGTATTGCTACTCCAGCTTTCTTTTGATTTCATTTGCATAGAATATCTTTTTCCATCCCCTCACTTTCAGTCTGTATGTGTCCCTAGGTCTGAAGTGGGTCTCTTGTAGACAGCATATATATGGGCCTTGTTTTTGTATCCATTCAGCAAGCCTGTGTCTTTTGGTTGGAGCATTTAATCCATTCACATTTAGGGTAATTATCAATATGTATGTTCCTATGACCATTTTCTTAATTGTTTTGGGTTTGTTTTTTTAGGTCCTTTTCTTCTCTTGTGTTTCCCACTTAGAGAAGTTCCTTTAGTATTTGTTGTAGAGCTGGTTTGGTGGGGATGAATTCTCTTAGCTTTTGCTTGTCTGTAAAGCTTTTGATTTCTCCATCGAATCTGAATGAGATCCTTGCCAGGTAGAGTAATCTGATTTGTACGTTCTTCCCTTTCCTCTCTTTGAGTATATCATGCCACTCCCTTCTGGCTTGTAGAGTTTCTGCTGAGAAATCAGCTGTTAACCTTATGGGAGGTCCCTTGTATGTTACTTGTCATTTTTCCCTTACTGCTTTCAATAATTTTTCTTTGTCTTTAATTTTTGCCAATTTGATTACTGTGTGTCTCGGCGTGTTTCTCCTTGGGTTTATCCTGTATGGGACTCTCTTCTTCCTGGACTTGGGTGGCTATTTCCTTTCTGATGTTAGGGAAGTTTCCAACTATAATCTCTTCAAATATTTTCTAGGGTCCTTTCTCTCTCTCTTCTCCTTCTGGGACCCCTATAATGCGAATGTTGTTGCGTTTAATGTTGTCCCAGAGGTCTCTTAGCCTGTCTTCATTTCTTTTCATTCTTTTTTCTTTATTCTGTTCTGCAGCAGTGAATTCCACCACTCTGTCTTCCAGGTCACTTATCCATTCTCCTGCCTCAGTTATTCTGCTACTGATTCCTTCTAGTGTATTTTTCATTTCAGTTATTGTATTGTTCATCTCTGTTTGTTTGTTCTTTAATTCTTCTAGATCTTTGTTAAACATTTCTTGCATCTTCTCTTTCTTTGCCTCTGTTCTTTTTCCAAGGTCCTGGATCATCTTCACTATCATTATTCTGAGTTCTTTTTCTGGAAGATTGCCTATCTCCATTTCATTTAGTTGTTTTTCTGGGGTTCTGTCTTGTTCCTTCATCTGGTATGTAACCTTCTGCCTTTTCATCTTGTCTATCTTTCTGTGAATGTCACATGCATACATTTTTTTTAATCTTAATCATTTTATTCAGAGCAATTCTTGGCACATAAGTATTGTTGAAGGGATGCATGTATGACTACAGGATAGCAGATTCATGGCTGTGAATAAATCAAGTGATTAAGATCTAAGAGTCTGAGCCTGGGTTTGAATTGCTGATCTGCACATAATAGAGGTGAGACTTGGAACAAGTAAAGTAAACTTAAGATTTCTGTGTCTGAAGTTATATATACAATGAAATGGGGATAAAAATGTTACTTGCCTCAAGTTTATTATAAGGATTAAATAAAATAAATAACTTTGTGACACATGTACATTTTTGATGGGAATGTAAAATGGTGTGGCCACTTTGCAAAAGAGTTTGGCAGTTCTGTAAATGTTAAACCTAGAGGTACCATATATATAACCCACAGTTCCACTGTTAGCTATATGTCCAAGAGAAAAGAAAACATATAATCACACAAAAACTTGTACATGAATGTTCACAGCAGCATTATTCAAAATAGCCAAAAAACAAAAACAACACAACTATCGATCAAACTGATGAATGGATTAAACAAAACGTGGTACATGCAAGGAAACATTATTCAGCCATATAAAGAAACAAGTACTGATACATTCTATAACATGAATCTTGAAAATATTATTAAAGTTAAAGGGTCACACTGTATGATTCCTTTTATATGAAAGGTTGACAAATAGCAAATTCACAGAGACAGAAAGCTGATTAGTAGTCACCTATGGCTGGAGGGTGGGAATGAGGTGAGGTGAAATGGAGGATTTCTAATTGGTCCGGGGTTTCTTTCTGAGGTGACGAAAATGTTCTAAAATAATTATGCTGATTGTTACACAACTCTGAATATACTATAAACCACTCAAATGTACACTTTAAATTGGTAAATTATTTCATATATGAATTATATCCCAACAGAGCTGTTTTTTAAAAAGTTAAGAAAATGAAAATATACTAAGTAGTGAATGCTGGGCTTTTAAAAATTGATTTCATGTTTTACTTGTAATCTAATAAATATCATCCCAAACAAAGAAATACCACAGGAATTCTGCATGGAGAGAGCACACAGACTTTTGCTTCACCTTTGTTACCGGCCACTCTGCAGCGAGACCGACTTTTTTGCAAAGGGTACTGGTTCTCCTTCAAAGATATGATGTGGATGCCATGGCAAAACTGAGTCAGATGTAGTAATCCTGCGGCTTTTTGGCCATTGTAGGCAGGTTTGGGGCCACACATGCTGCTGGGGACACTTCAGGCTCATTCAAGGCAATGATAGTAATAACTGAAATAATGGCTTTAAGAGGTTGACAAAGCATCGTCCTATCTGATTACTGCAACAAGGGCTGTGATGTCTTTTTCACAGACGTGGAAACAGTTCTGTCTAATTCAAAGGCTTGCTCAAGGCTAGAGACTGGCAACACAAACCTGATACCAGGCCTTCTGAATACAAGTCCAGGGTTCATTTTCCGTCACCTTGCCCCCAAAGTCTCCTTTAAGTCATATCCTAGGTGCGTGTAACTGGTGGAAATTCAACTCTATGTGTTCAACAAAATAATGAGAGCACTCAATCCCAATGCAGATATCGGGAGCTCAGATGACACCACACATTTTCACATGGTGACCACAGGCCCTGGAGTGGGCCTGGGACAGAGGTCACAGGTCTGCCATCTGAGCATCTGCCGTACCGAGTGAGAGCTCCATGTTTAAAGAGCTTTCTCTCCTTTACACAGAAAGTTATATTTTGCCATGTGTTCTTTTTCTCATATCAGTTACATTATTACATGCATCATACATTTTTTTTGCCAGATTGAATACACTACACTTTGAATGTGGTACCTTATGGGTCACTTAAGGAATACTACAGAGTCATCTGGACTCTGTAGTTTCTAGATGATTTCATGATTTCTGACACTAGATTCTAACCCGGCAGTAAAATGCAACACCATGGACTGGAGCCTCCAGGGGCCACTTTCTCATTTGATGGCCCAGAGCTATTTTGGTTTTTATTATCTAGGCTTTTCTACACAAAAACCAAGGTGGCCTAGATCGTGGTGAACGCTGACCCGAGCCCTTGCAGACAGAAGGAGAAAAACACCAGAAACAGTATGTTTTACCCTCTCCTACCTCCTCTACTTGCAGGGTTTCTTTTTCAACTTTTTCGAGTAACTCTTTTCTCAACAAGAACTCTTTGTCCAGATCGACGGACACTTCCATGGCTCGGTGTAGCTTGCTCTGAAATATAACAACACAGCAAGTCTTGAGCAAAGATGATTGCTTAGAACTATAGGAAGGATAGACATACAAACAGCTCTTTATTAAGCAGGAGACTAGAAGGACCAACCAGGAACTTGGGCCTGCCCTTCTCATGGCTGCCCAGATTTTCAGAATCCTGGTGTCTAAGTGGCAGGGGAGGAGAGGACCTCGGGAGGCTTGTCCTCACCTGCAAAGTAGCCAGATACACCTGGGCCCAAATCCCACCCCACCACTTACTAAGAGAACCTCTCTTAACTAGGGCTAGTTGCCTTGTAGGGTTGTAGAAAGGCTTAAGGGAGACAAACCTGGTAAAGTGTTGAGCACAGTGCCTGACACACGGAGAACCCACGGCAGACGGCCGCCATCACTACCTCACTTGGATGAAGAGGTGGATGCTACTGTGAGCCCACTGTACAGGTGAGGGAGCTGACTTTTAGGGAGGTGAAACAACTTCCCCAGGGTCACAGAGACGAGGGGGAGCCAGGTTTGATCCCAGGCAGCGTGACTTCACAGCCCATGGACTCCACCACTGTCTCCAAAGCCTATGAGGACTGGGCATGCTGGTGCTGGAGAGTTTCTGCAGGAGCTGCTCCACAGCTTCCTGTTGCATCTTTTGCTGCTGCCCCTCACCAGCTCCTCCCTGGCCCCTGCTTCTTAGGTTTGCCCCCTTTGGACCTCCATCTACTAATGGTGAAGAGTCAACCTGGGGGAGTTGGGATGTGCTCTGCTTGGCTGAGGAGGAGGGGGCTGAGGGACAGAAGCCAGTGACTCCAGGGGGCTGGCCAACAAACCCTGAGAACCTACCCAGGCACTGGTCGGCAAAACAACCTAGGCCTGGCCACCAAGAGGCCGGCTCACAGCCCTGACGGAGGTACAAGAAGAAATGCCAAAATGCAACTGTGCCAAGCACCAAGAGTGCATGGGCACTGGTCCCGAAGGTTTCCCTGTGGGAAGGGATGCTGGAAAAAGAGAGGTGAAGTCAACTATGTCTAGGTAAGAGGGGTGGGAAGAACGTTTCAAGCTAAGGAAAGAGCCTTGGGAGAGGAGGGTCCAAAAGGAGCCGGGGAAAGGAGGGTACTGGGGCAATGCCCGAAGGTATCAAATCTTAGACCCGGCAGAGAAGCCTGGAGCCACCTGCCTGGGGGAACTTAGAGCACCTGGGGCCACCTCCCTCCCCATTCCTCTCCTCTCCAATCCCTTCTTTAAGGCTCATTTCCTGTTCCACATCTTGCATGAAGTTGCTCTTCTGAGGAAAGCAAAAGTGGATAAGAGGCCAGGCAGAGGGGGTCAGCTGTGGGGAAGGGAAGGCAGGACAGGTCTTCACTGCACACCAGCCAGTCAGGTGGGAGAAAAGGAGAGCAGAGGGAAAACAGTCATTCACCCAACAACTTAGAGAGACAGAGACACAGGGCAGGAAAGAATGGAAGCTCGAGGCAGCCCCTGGCTCTGCTGGGGCGGGGCCTTCAAGGAGGTGTAATGGAGTAATTTGGGATCCTGAGCCGGATGATGGTCATTGAGGCAGCTACTTCTGAAAAGGCATGTTAGCTTTCTGTTGCTGTGGAACGAATTATCACAAATTTTGTGGCTTAAGGTAACACACATTTATTATCTCACAGTTTCTATAGATCAGAAGTCGAAGCACAGTGTGGCTGGATTCTCTGCCCAGGGAGCGACCCACCGTGTGGGCCAGGGCTGGGTCTTATCTGGACCTGGGGTCCTTGCCAAGCTCACAGGTTGTTGGTGGGAAGCATTTCCTTGAAGTTGTAAGACCGAGCTCTCCATTTTCTTTCTGGCTGTCAGCAGGAGGTGGCCCTCGGCTCCTGCAGGCCGCCCTCAGACCCCTTCCATGTGGTCCCTCTATCTTCGAGCCGGCAATGGAGAAGTTTTCATCCAGAGAATTCCCTTCATACTTCAAATCTCTGCCTTCCTCATCCAGAGAAAACTGTCTACTTTCAAAGGGCTCATGTGATTAGGTCAGACCCACTGGGATAATATCCTCATCTCAAGGTCAAGGGTGCCCTCTAATCTAATCTAATCATAGAGCAGAATGGAACCTAATAACAGAATCCGTCGTATCCAGAGCCCTGGGCATTGTGCAGGGGGAATACACCAGGGGGCGGGGAGTCTTGGGGGACATCTTGGAATTCTATCTAACACAAGGCATCACTAGTTTATACACGGATCACTAGTTTACAGTCAGTTAAGAGCGACACCTCAAGGCTGTAGTCACGTGCTTATATTCTATCAGCCTCCATCAGGCAGGGCTTGAAGGCATAGCAGAGAAAAAGGATTGACTGAGACCCACTCATAAAACTCATAGAAGAGAAGAGACCATGTCTGTCTCCTTCACAGCTGTACCCTCAGCACTTAGCCGTGTGCCTGGCATACCGTAAGTACTCAGTACATTTGGCAATAGAGGAAAATTATTCTATATATTTTTAATGAGGTCTTATACTTGGGTGTTTGACATTTATATGAAAGTGATCCCTCCTGCCACCCTTCCATCCCCTAAACATACACCTGAATTTTTAGCAGTTTTTGACAATACATGCTGAGCACCTGCTTTGGCCAGGCCCTGTCCTCAGCGCCAGGGACACATCACAGACCAGCCAGAGGTCTGTCCTGGTGGTAAGTCACAAAAACTTGCTTCTGAGAGGCGACGCATCGGCCCATAGTCCCCAGTAGAGTCCCCATTCAAACCCAGGTGAGGCCGGACTCTACAACCCACAGTTGTTGGGCCCCGTTTCCCCCAGGAGGCCTGAGAACTGAGACACGGAAAAGTGAGCCTGCTTCTCTCTCAGCCCCTCGCTGTGTCACCTTAGGACTCCAGCAGGCATCTCGTCCCAGCTCCACCATCTGCTTGCTATTATTCTAAACAGGCCTACAGGCATGCTGGCCCCTGGGATTCTGACCGGAATGGCTCCCATTCTGCCCACCGTGGCCTGTGTTGCCGCTGCTTGGGTGTCACAATCAACAGGCACTGTGCATTTAGATGTCCTAAGCAGCGCAAGCCCTGGACCTAGCTGTTGCATTTTATAAACCAGTAGCTCCACTCCAAAGCCCTAGCTTTCCCCCACAAGACCAGACTGGCCCTGTGCCACTCAGTTGATTTCTCAGAATAAGATCAAGGTCCAATGTACCTCGAGGTACATACCACGTACCTCGAGGCTCTCCAGTTGGACACATGAATTTCAGAATGTGAGCACGGCCTTGTGTACACACGTTATGCCAGGGGAAGGCAGTTGGGTGAGGTGGGACACGCACTGGACTAGGAGTCCAAGCTCTGTCACGAACATGTTGCTTGAATCCGGCAATTACTCTGCCTCTTTCGGCCTTCGGTTTTTCATTTGTAAAAGGAAAATGCTGGACAAACATAAACCTAGTCTAAACACATTCGAATTCACATTTTTAAATGACACTGTGTGGGCCAAATGAAGCTTACCTATGAGCTACCTAAGCCCGTGGCCGCTCTTGCCACCTAGACACTAGGCCAGGGGTCAGCAACCTTGCTCTGTAAAAGGCCAGATAGTAAATATTTTAGGCTTTGCAGGCCAAGGGGCAAAATTGAGCATGTTGTGTAATTACCTACACTAACAAGAGAGAAAACAAATTTCCACAAATGTTTTATTGATAAAATTCAAAATAAAATAATCAAGTATAATATTTTGGAATGCAGGTCTACTATTGAGGAGAATGAAATTTCTCAGGGAGAAATCAATTTTGCTTAATTGGGTTTCAAAGGGAGTGTCCTCTATCAAATCAGTTGCAAATGTTCTTCTGTAAAAACCATCCTTAGCTCCCAGACCAGTGGGCAGGATACACGGGCCCACAGTTAGCTATTGCATCAGACAGCTGCCAGCAGGGTCTCCAGGCAGCCTGGTCTGCCGAGGACAGGCCATGCTCATACCCACAGTTTCTGCTTAATTATCAATAGTGCCTCTTTCTCTACAAAAACGGTTCTGTGTGGATGAGGAATTATTTAGTAGATTTCTGCTTTATAGCTAAGATGATTTCCTTTGCAGGGTTTTAAGCAAGGAAGTGCTTTCACACACTAAATTAAATAGGGCCCTAAATGTGGCTGGTTATCAAAACTCACTGTGCATAAAAATCATCTGGGAGTTAAGGAAAAAAAAAAAGATGCATGGCCCTCACCCCCTAATTCAATTGGTCAGGGTTGGACTAGAGAGTCTGTCTAACCTTTAAAAAAACAAAAGGCTCCTTGGATGGTTCTAATGCGCAGCCAGGATTGTGGGGACATCCGGAGTATTTTAGGAGACATGGCTTCGTCGGGAGAAATCAGAGAGCAACAGGGGAATGAAGGACGCCTAGGCTCTCAGTGAAACAACAGTGGTGCCCTAATACCTCTCTGTGGCTGGAAAGGTAGGCACAGGAAGCCCGGAGGACCAGCGCGGACCTTACTTTGTACGCGTTAAGGATCCGCAGGGTGTTTCTGGATACCAGCTTCAGCTGGATCAGTTCTTGATTCCTTGCTTCAATTGTCTTTAAAAACTGAGCATTCTCGATCTTCAGCTGCTGAAAGTCAACATCGTGGAGGGCCTCTCCCACCTCTTCCTTCTACAGCTCAGAGAGAGGAAACGATGTGAGGTTGTGACTTCTGAATGTATGGCTCGCACCTTGCAATTCCTAGTGAGCTTTTGGAAGTCAGTCATCATTCAGTCATTCAACAAACTTGGATTGGGGATCTGCTTGGTGCCAGGCATGGTGTTAGGTCCAGGGATAGAGATCTGAGTAAATATGATACTCCCATACTCAATGACAGTTCACAGACAGGTCATAGCGTGGTGTAGTGGGACACACAGGGGCAGAGGGCAAACAGAAGCCCCTCAGCCAGCCCAGAAGAGAATGGAAGGCTGGGTCAGGGAGGCTTTCCCCAGGAAGTGGTGCCTAAACAGGGCTGTGTAGGAAGAAAGGCCATTTAAAAGTTGTTTTTAACCTGGAAAACCCAGGACAAGCAGCCCATAAACGTCCTTCCTTTGATCCCATGACACTTCTGCACGGGGGGTGTATCAGTGCACCGGGTTCACTCCCCAGCCCTGGTCCCACCTTACCTGCCCCACCAGGTCTGTGCCATCTTACATTTGTGGTACACAAGAGCCAAACTCAGGTCTGTTCCCCATCCCCATGTGCTACTCATGCTGTACTACCTCCTAGAAGGCATCTTCTTCCCTTTTCCCCGAAACAACAGAACAATTTCCTTAAGCCCCAACTGACCCACCCTCTAGCTCAAATGCTCCCAGCCCATCTTCCACACCAGAGGGCAACCCCTCCCTCCACGCAGCCTCCTGAGGCTGTGGCTCCTGGTCCCTGCCACTGTTTCCTCTGTATGGCAGTTATGCATCCATGCCTTTTCTCACCATCACCACTCCCTGCTAGCCTGCGAGCCTGCGAGGGCAGGACCACATCAGTGTCATCTCTGTGTAGCAATGGCTTTCAGGTTAAAGGTCATCCATCTGCTTCCCCTCTCACGCTTCAGGATGCCTGAGCTTGCATGAAGTCCAGAGAACTAGGAACTCAGTATCAGGAGGCAGCTCAGCTGGGGCCACGTTCTTTCTTACGCTGAACTCAACTCTCCTTGGCTGACACTTTCACCCCAACCCAGCTCCACCCTGGGGGCCCTCCCAAGCAGTATGTTCTCTTCCCCGCAGCGACCAGAGCACTCGGAGACAGCAGCCATGGCTCTTGTGGGCTCCTCCTCCTTGGCCCCATCAGTTGCAGGTCCTCTGACGTGCTTTCTCTCCCCTTGCTCTCCATTCCCTCTCCTACGTGGACTCTAGTTTACAGATTCTTTCACGTGTGGCACTCTCCCTGAGACACAGTGCTCCAGGTGGGCTACTCAGAACAGAGTGCAGTGAGACCACTCTTTCCTGGAGGGCACCGTGGAGTGCAGCCTAGGCTGCAGCACTGCCCCCAGCTGAGCGGACTTTATCAGCTTCTCCATGACTAAGTCACCCAGCACCTGTGCAGATATTTGGGAGGATCAAAGTGGAGGACCTTACGTTTGTCCTTAGTCACCTCGTGTGTTAAAGTTGTCCCAGCCTGTTGAGCCTTTGGGATCCCAAGTCAATCAAGCAGTAACTCCCAGACATCTTAATTCTCCTGCCCAACTCTGTGTCACTGACAGTGGCCACCTCTGATGCACATGCCATCAGCACCCATATAATGAATTAATAACAAAAATATTGAGCTAAAAGAGGATGGAGCTATGTAACCACTTTCTAGAGGCCCTGTGCCATGTCTGCCTTACCGCCTTTAATCAGGAGCCTTTAAGGTCAGCTGTTCAAAGACTTACCAAGGCATACTACTAACTGTGCCACCCGGCCACATTCCCCAAAAGGGTCAATAAGTATGTCATGAGGGTCTTTTAAATTCAAGCCAACTCCATCTACAGATTTGCCAGCACAGAAACTGTATTAGTTTCCTGTTGCTGCTGTAACAAATGACCACAAATTCAAGGGTTTAAAACAACATAAATGTATTATCTTATAGCTCATGAGGTCAGAAGTCTGAAATGGTTCTTTGGACTAAGATCAAGGTGTTGGCAGGGCTGCATTTCTTCTGGAGGCTCAAGAGGAGAATCTGTTTCCTTGCCCTTTCCAGCTTCTGCAGGTAGCCTGCATCCTTTGTTCACAATCCCTTCCTCTGTCTTAAAAGTGCATCACTCTGACCTCTGCTTCCATTACCAAATCTTCTCTGACTCTCATTCTCCTGCCTCCCTCTCATCAGGACCCTTGTGATTACATTGGACCCACTCAGATAATCTACAATAAACTCCCCATCTCAAGATCCTTGACTTAATCACACCTGCACCATCTTTATGCCACGTAAGGTAACATACTCACAGACTCCAGGAATTAGGACGTGGACATCTTTGGGAAGACGTTGTTCTACCCACCACAGTAACCTTAAAAAAAAGAAAGACAAAGCCACATACCTGCCTCAATTGTAAAAGCATCTTTTTCCTCTGGACTTTGAGAGAGGCATTTTTCAAACATAATTTATCCTTCATATTATCCTGAAAAATAAAAGCAAATTTTAATCCATTGCTCTTCTTCTTCCCTGTTGGCTTGAAAAGTTGGCAGGTCTGGGGCTGCAAAACTAAACCTTGAGCCCTAACATTCAGTCACCTTTTTTTAAGTCTTTTATGGCTACTCAAGCTGGTGTTGCTATGGTATTTTACTCATGACCAAAAAGCAGAGGAAACTGGGTCTGCTCCATACAAATTTTCTATTGATTTTAAATTCAAGATAACTTGGGTATATCTTTAGGTATAGGGGCCTTTACTGACAAAATGATTTATGATTCTTTGGTCTATTATTCTCTTGGTAATTTACATAATTTTTATTACATATAGCATGTTACAGTTAGTGACTCTACCTATCTCCAGGATCCAAAGTTTGATATGCTACAAAACCTTTGGAAAAGAAGGAGCATTTTATGTCTCATTCTTACAATAATGGAACTCAAAGAAATTAAGATTTACTTGTCGCATGCCATGTAGTCACCTGACTAGATAGACTCACACCTTTCTCAAGATAACATCAGATCTTGAAACAAACAGCAAAATACAGTAAGTCGCCTACATACGAACGAGTTCCATTCCGAGAGCGTGGTCGTAAGTCCAATCTGGTTGTACGTCCAACAAAGTTAGCCTAGGTACCCAACCAACACAATCAGCTGTATAGTACTGTACTGTAGGTTTATAACGCACGTTCACATCTTTGACAGTTCGCAACTTGAAGGTTCCTATGTAGGGGACTTACATACGGTCTGAGATACTATGAATATTCATCCTGCCTGACTGATTTTAGACTTGATAAACTTGCATTTTAAGACACACATGCTGTGAGGGACACAAAAAATCCGCATATGTGGGCAGCGTTTACAGTGGACCAAATGGAGTGGGGCTGCCTCACGTGGGCCACTTCTGTGTCATCGTTCTATGAATCTATTTCCCCTTCTAAGCTCTAACCTCCTGCCCACTCACCCTCCGGCGGTTCATGTCCTCAATGTACTTCATCACTTTCTGAGTGGCCAAAATACTCCCTTTCTTCTTGGATATGGTCTTTAGAATATCTTTTTCAAACTCATGCACTTCTCTCTGAACTTCGGTCCACCGAATTTCAGCTTCCTCAACGATAGCCTGGGGGAGCCAGCACAAAGAGAGAACAGTTTACAAAATTTCTCAAGGATATAGCCGTCTAAGGAAACCTACACATATTGGGTGACCTATTTGTGTCCCAATGCATAACGTTTCTTCTTAGTCTTAGAAATATATCCTTAAGATACAAATTGGACAATACGAATATTATTATTTAAAAGCATGCCTCAAAAAAGTTATAGTCTCGATATAAAGGGGAAGAAAAAACAAAAACAGGGCCTTGGGACTTCCCTGCTGGTGCAGTGGTTAAGAATCTGCCTGACAATGCAGGGGACACGGGTTCGAGCCCTGGCTCGGGAAGATCCCACATGCCGCGGAGCGACTAAGCCCATGTGCCACAACTACTGAGCCTGGGCTCTAGAGCCTGCGAGCCACAACTACTGAGCCCTCGTGCCACAACTACTGAAGCCCGCACACCTAGAGCCCATGCTCTGCAACAGGAGAAGCCACCGCAATGAGAAGCCCGCGCACCACAACGAAGAGTAGCTCCCGCTCACCGCAACTAGAGAAAGCCCACGAGCAGCAACGAAGACCCAACGCAGCCAAACATAAATAAATTAAAAAAAAAAAAAAAAGAGGTGATGAGGGTAGATTTAAAAAAACAAAAAACAAAAAAAACAGGGCCTTGAGTATCTCCAGAAATATGTATTTCCATATCTGAAACATTATTTATCCATTAAAAATTATAACATTAATATAATATCACATATATATAAAATATCTGGAAGGCTATATGCCAAAACATTAACCACAGTCATATCTGGAAAGATGGATTAGTGGGGAGGCAAAGAAGCACTCTGTAATTTTAAAAAAGATGCTATAAATGAATCTATGTATTGATATGGAAAGATATTATTAAGTGAAAAGTATGGTTTATAAAATAATATGATACCTTTTTATAAAGAAATTCATACACACATAGAAAATAATATAAATTCTAGGAGAAAAATACAAGAGCCAAATACAAGTCTTAGGTGGTAAGACTGTGGATGTTTTCAAATGTTCCTCTTTTAGCTTACCTGTATGTTTAAATTTTGCTACAACAGAGATAGTCTTTAAATAAGAAAACACAAACACACATACATTATTTTAAAGAATGAAATGAGTAGCTGCAGAGCAAATCATCTTTGTTCAGGCTTTTTCACTGGGCACCAAGAAGCAAAAGCATCTTCCTTCTCCGGCTGGCGTCTGGCCCCAGCCTCCTCCCTTCCCATCATCTTCACAGGCCAGAACATCCATCCACATTAAATGCTACTTCCTATGCATCGCTCTTCTGCTCAGTTATCCTCACTGGGGTCCTGATTTCTAAGACATCAGAGAGAAGCCCCTCTGCTTGGCTTTCAAGGTCTCACAGCCCTACTCGACCTGATTTCCTACCATAGCCCCCAAAGCACCCTCTTCTCTAATCACACCAGCCTCCTCAAGGTCCTAACTTGCCATGTTCATTCCTACCTCCACTTCCTTGTTCATGTCATTCACCTTACCTAGGGTGCCCTTGTCTTCCTATTCCTTAAACAAATGCCACCATTCTTCAAGGCCATGCCAAGTCCTATGTCCAGCCCCACCTCCTCAACACAGTCTTCTCTGACCACTCTAGCCCACATCGTGATGTTTAATCACACGGTCTAGCATGGCAGGACAAAGCTACCACATCCTGACCTCCTTTAACATGTTAGAATTCAACGATGCATGTTTGGAAAGAGAAAGAAGAAGAGAGGGGAAAGGGCAGGAGGGAGGGAGAGAGGGAGAGAGGGAAAGAAGGATAGGTTTATGCAGTACAGATGATTCTATCAATGGAGACATGAGTCCACTGATCCATCTCTTTCAAGGAAATGAGTGTGATTCTGTGCGTGCCTCCATTTAGAAATGGAAAAAGTTAGAAATAGAACAGAAATATCTATTTTTCATACAACATGGCTACCAAATGCAAGCCAACAACTTCATCCCATGGGCAATGAAGTTAACAGCGATGTTTCTTCTCTGGAGGAAAACTGATTGCAGTGGCCTCCAACAAGACATGAACCATGGTCATGGATGCTGCATATGGAGGGTGACAAGGGATTTTTCACCCAACTCACTGACTTAAACCTCCAGCCCATTTTATTATTAAGAAATTATTATAAATTTTAAGGGCATTTATGGTAATTATGGTTATGGGTTTTTTTTTAAAAGAATCCATATCTTAGAGACATATATTGAAATATTTACAGATAAATATATGTTTAAGATTCACTTCATAATAGCCCAGTGGCCTATTACGAGGGGGAAGTTGGTAGGGATACGGAGGGAACAAGAGTGGCCATGCATTTATGACTGTTACGTGTGGGTGTTGAATACATAAGGGTTCGCTGTGCTAGCTTCTCTACATTTGTGTATTTTGAAATTTTTCATCTTAAAGAGTTTAAAATTTGATATCTCCTCAAGCAGGTGGTAAGTTCCTTAAAGGTAGGTCCTCAATTTATCTTACCCTACTTGTGTTTCTCTCAAAGCACCAACAGTTGTATGAACATACTATAGGTACTTCTTGCTGAGGCGGAAACGGGGAGCCCAGGGAGGACAGCCTATAGGAAGGTATACCTCGTGATGCTGCAGGTCCCTCTCGGCATTTGCCCTTATGTGCCTTATTTCACTCTTTGTGTCGTCCAGCTCTTTTTGCACAAGCTTCAATTTTTGGTCCACGCTGAGGCCTGTTACACGTTCCATACTTACGCGGGATTTGGATCTACGCCTGCCTCGTAACTGTAACACAAGAAAAACAAAGCCATTGTCAAATAGGAATTGGCAATAAAGCAGCCTAAGGTGGGCATCGAAACGACCACTCAGGCCTGCTAGAAATCGCTCTGAATGACATCCAGAGAGAACCAATTCAATGTGAAAGGATTCTAGATATTAGGCCTGAGGTGATGTTCATTTCACAAGTCAACCTAAGGCACCGTGCCAAATACTTCAAAGGCCTATGCTTGACAATGAACTGAAAATAAATAAGGGAAAGTGTCTTGAGGGTGGGAAAACCATGAACCTGCTATAGACTAGCACTCAAGTCAGTGTCAGAGAAAACCTGGAGCTCAGTGCTGCCCAAACTGAACACAGAAGAGAAACTGCATCGGGGGCCACGGTGTTCAGCAAAAACCAAAAAGACAAAAATTTTGGATTTCCTAGGCATTGAAGCCAAAGGGCAAAAGCAGGTGGCCCAGGGAATGTGTGGACCTGAAGATGACATTGTTTGGCCCTCAAAAAAATAGACCTATACACAGTTTTAAATTAAAAAGAAATTAATTACCCACATTTGAAAATCAGAGGTTTCTACCAAAATAATCCAGATTTCCAGCTTCTCTTGAAAAATCAGCTGCTCTGGCAATACCAGGTTGTCTGGCTGGCCCTTTTAGATGAGGGAGGAACTCTCCAGTGCCCACACCAGGCCCATCTTCACTCCTGTATGTGGCTGGCCAGGCCTTGTACACGTTTGGGTCCCCAGAATGAAGGGAGTTATTTCAAATTAACTAAGATATTCTGTGAGGGTCAATCCACTGTGAGTTGAATCTGATTCCCTTCATACTCATTTGAAAGAGAAACCTTGAAGGGGAAGGAAGAATCAAAAGTAGAACAGTGAGAAAGTCGTATGCCACTTGGCCAAGAGGGAACACCAAAAATGGACAACAAACACCACTTGCATCTAAAGGGACAAACAGAATAAAAGAATTCTTAGATCTCTCTTGTGTACCTGTGCAATTTCTGCTCCTGACATTCTAATTTCTGATAATTGTGAAGGTCGCTGGTCCCTGGGCTCCAATTTATTGTAATATTTTTCAAACATCTCTGTCTCAGTTTTGAGAGCAGAGTTTCCGTGGCTGCAAGACAGAAGGTGCCTAAGTAAGTTCCACCAATAGGAGTTTAAACCCCAGATAACTAGTATTTAACACTTACTAGCTTTGTATGACCTTTTGCAAGATATTTAACCTCTTGGTGCCTCACTTTCCTCATCTGTAAAATGGGAATAATAACAGCACCTATCATCGAGGGTTGTGATAAGAAATGCAAAGACTTTGGGTCAGTGTCTGGCACACAGTAAATGCAATTTAAGTATTCTATATATTTTTAAAATACATCTAATGAGCCACAAAATTCAGAGCACTGGGATTACAGGCATACTTTAGGGATATTCCAGGTTCAGTTCCAGACCACCTCAACAAAGCACATATTGCAATAAAGTGAGTCATATAAATTTTTTGGTTTTCCAGTGCATATAAAGTTATGTTTATATTATACTGTAGTCTACCAAGTGTGCAATAGCATTATGTCTAAAAATATATATATACCTTACTTTGAGAACTTTATTGCTAAGAAAATGCTAACCATCATCTGAGCCTTCAGTGAGTCATAATCGTTTTGCAATGGTAACATCAAAAATCACTGATCACAAATCACCATAGCAAATATAATAATAATGAAAAAGTTTGAAATATTGCAAGAATTACCAAAATGTGACAGAGACACGAAGTGAGCAAATGCTGTTGGAAAAAGCGGCATCAATAGACTTGCTCAATGCAGGGATGCCACAAACCTTCATTTTGTAAAAAACACAATATCTGCAAAGTGCAGTAAAGCAAAATGCAATAAAGTGAGACATGCCTATATATTTTAAATTGCTACAAGTTTCTTCTTCAAGTATCTTCTAACCCATTTGTGAGTTTCCTTCTGAATTACTGCTGAATTCTTGAAATTACACACATCCACAATCTTCAGAGGTTTTTCCTTTAGTTTATATTTCTTGCCTCTTTCATTTCCAGCACGCAATGGATGAAGCATCCACTAGAAGTCTATTATAAATGGTGGAAAAGCTTTGAATAGATGGTTTTTAAACAACTAGAGATAATAAACCTAGCTTATTCTGTATATGCCAAGATTATGACCCTTTTAATTTATGTAACGTACATGTATGCTCTAATATGAGTGTGTATAATACACACATATGTATGTAAATGTATATATGAGAGAGAACAGCTCTGATATTTGCATACATTATTGAGCTGAATATCTGTTTATTGAGCTGAAAACTCTGTTTGGCTGAATTTTAAGATTAGTGGGAAAGGATCAACAGAAAAGCCCAATATATCAAAGCATCTTTCTTTTTCAGCATATGTCATGTTCCCAATGTAGGCTGGGGAGTTACACCCGAGTCTTAATCTTAGCACTACCACTGACTAGTTGTGTGACTGTAGGAAAGTGACTTAACTTTTGTGTCTGTTTCCTCACCAACTTTCTAGGGTTATGGGCCATTCTATAAGGTAATATATGCAAAATACTTGGCACATAATAAGCACTCAAAAGATTGTAGCTATTTTAGCAATAATACCTCAATTCTGACCTAAACTATTTATAAATATATTGAAGTAACACCTATTCAGCTGCCAGGCCAGGATATTCTGTGTGAGACCAGTAAGTTGTACAATTAACCTCAACTACATCATGGAATCTTGACATCCAATTTACTTGCTATAGTAGATACTAAAACAGACTGCTAAAAATACAGAATATTGAGCTAGTCCTTCTTTGCTGTCCACCTCCATGCTTATACTCAGGTTCAGATATAAGTTGTTTCATACTAAAAACATCTCAATAGCCTCCTTTCTATCTGCTGCCACATTAATTTTAGCATAGAATCTTAGCATTGGAAAGGGGCTTAGAGGTCACCTGGTCCAAGCTGCCGCCGCACAGTAGAGGAGCGGCTAAGCACACAGTGTGGCACCAGACAGACCCACCAGGCTGAAGCTCTGGCTTCACCAATTACCCTCTGGGCTTCGCACCACCTTCTTTTTTTGGCTCCATCAGTGGCTTGATAGCGCCATGGCAGTGGAAACACGGGAATAAAGAGCAAAGGTAAGCGCCTTCCCCACTTTGGGGGTCTCAGTTTCCTCAATGTTCAATGCGGGCTAGGAGCATTCGGTGCTGGACCACGCTCCGGGCCCACACGCTGAGGAGGGACCGCCCCCAGAAGCCGACAGGCTGGTACCTGAGCTCTTCCACCAGCCCACACAGCTGGGTAACAGGCAGCTCGCTCTCATCCTGGGCTTGCGCCTCGCTGGCAGTAGTCTGAGAGTCCTCGTCCGTCATCACTGCCGAAGCCACCCTCGTCAAAGCCCCTTGTTAATGCCGAGTGTGGCCGAGAGCGCCGTGGAGCGAGCGGCCACGCGTCACTCTGGCTGCGACCTAGCAGTGCGTTGCCACGGCGACCCGACGCGTGCGTGGAGGGGCGGGGCTTCGGAGGCCCCGCCCAGCGCTCCCGCCCAGCGCTCCCGCCCAGCGCTCCCGCCCAGCGCTCCCGCCCAGCGCCGCGCTGACCAGCGCGAGGTTACCGGCCTTGGCTAGACACGTAAGTGCATTCACTGTTCACTTTTTCAACAATAATTCTTAAAATGATGATAATAACAGCTACTGTTTGCTCAGCACTTACTATGCCCTTGGCACCGTGTTAAGCATGGTTTATGAAAATCCTTGCAGCAACCTTGTAATAGTATCTATTCTTCTCTTTTTCCAAACTGGGAAACTAAGACCCAGAAAGTTCATTTGATTTGTCGGAGTGTCCTGCTTCTTGCACCTCACTGTGAGGTCTCTACTCTGTTCGCCACCTGGCACCTCATACATATTCACTGTAGTTTCTCTCGGATACTAATAACCTGCATTCCTGGAAGGAAAAAACTTGGCTGATTATTAAATGGGTATAAATTCAAGAGACATTTCTAAGTAGTGATAATGTATTATGTCCTGAGTATCCTGGGGTAATGTATGGAGCAGACCATTCTGACCCTCAAGGGGCTTCTAGTTAAATGAGGAGATAGCCCCTAAACCAGCTGTTGCAACCTGGAGTAATGATGGTGGCAAGCGTTGTGCCTCACACCGTTTTATAGTCATTAACTCATTTAATTCTCAAAACAGTCTTATGAAATCGGTACCGTTGTCTTCCTCTTACAGATCAGGAAACTGAGGAATATAGTAGCTTAGATGAGTGGCCACCCAGGAATGGAGTCACCCTCCAGCTAAACTCAAGTCCATGCTGTTGACTCCTACACCCATGTGCCTCCAGACAAGGATCTGCCAGGCAGCAGGGTTGCAGTCTGTCTGCTCCCAACAGGATGGAAGAGGACAGAGGGTAGGATGGGCAGACTTCTTTGAGGGAGGGTGGGCCTGGATGTGATTAGAAAGCAAGCTGTGATAAAATGCTTAGAATGAGGGTCAGCCACTCCCTGACCCCCACCACCCCACAAGAGATGTGTGTTAGCATCAACACATAGTCACTGAAGTCCAAAGAAGGACTTTCATTTTGCTGCTTAGGACGCACAATTTTAGGGCCAGAGTGGACTTACTAGGGAGGATAGCAGAGAGACTGAGCCCTGCCACCACCTTCTCTCTGCTGGTAGGCCTCTTGGGATGGGCTTAGGGAGCAATGCTTAATATGCTCATATACCACGTGGTACAAATGGGTGCCGGCCCCAAGAGGGCTCAGAGCAAGAAACGGCTCTGCAGCAGGTCTGGCTATGGGGCCAACAGCCCTGTCAGTTGGGCTATGTGATACAGCAGGCCTTACGGTGTTGGAGCTATTAGTGGTGGGAAAAGCGTGAAGCTTCAAGCAGGATCCAGTGGGAGAATAACTGTGCAGGACCTGAGATTTTGAAACAAGACCGACCATGCAATCCACGGCAGGAATTTTCACACCTTCTAAGAAACAGCTTCTGGCCTGTTACTAGACCCTGGTAGAGACAGAATACTTGACTATGTATCCAGTCCTGCCCACCATGAGCTGGGTTCTGTTGAAACTACCAAGTCATAAAATTGGATAGGCCCAGGGAGGTAGTGCCAGGTATCTAAAAGAAGTGGGGGAAAGGGTGCCTTAGAGGTGGGAGAGCAAGGAGCAGAGTGTTTTAGTGGCCCAGAGTTCCAGCCCTGACTTGGCTACTGGCCTCTTGACTTGGATAAGTCACTCAATGCTTTTGCCCCTCAATTTCTACCTCTGTGAAATGAGGATGACACATCTTAAGTGACTGCCCTGTGCATCTTGCACGCTTCCTCTCGGGCTCAAGTGGGGTAGAGTAAGAGAAAGAAGGAGTTTGGAAACTAGGATGCCAAGTTGGGAAACCCAGCACCTCCTCCACCTTTAAGAGCCACTGCCTGGGTTTCTCATCAGTCCATAGTAGATTTTGTTGAGAAAAACTGACTCAGCTTGCAAATGGTAAATAATAATGATAATGATCACTGCCATTGCTATTTCTTAATATATTTATTACCCATTAGGTAATATTAGTATTGCTTAATAAAAACACAACAATTACTCTTTCAGTCACTGTTTATTGAGCGTTCGCTAAGGGCTGGACGCTGTGCTAAGCACGTTCGACATATTCCCTCATTGCCTCAGCGTGACCCCGTGCCCCCTGCAGTGGAAGCAAGGAGCCCTAAACACTGAACCACCAGGGAATTCCCGAGAGAAGGGAAATTAAATAAAGCAGCTATCACGATTATAAAGCAACAAGAGAATGCTTTGAAAAATGAAAAAAATGAAAACTAGCCACTGGACCGCCAAGGAAGTCCCCCAAGTACCTTTTTAACTCCCATTTTACTCATGCGGAGACTGAGGTTCAGACATGTTTAGCAACTTTCACAAGGTCACGTAGCTCTTCTGGGTGGGGCTGAAATTTAAACCCAGGTTCATCCCACTTTGCTCAGTCCTCTCATCATTTTTGCCCCATTAGAACAGTGGTTCTCAACAAGGGGTAGAGAGGGGACTATTTTGTTCCCTCAACCAGGCGACATTCTGCAATGTCTGGAGACATTTTTGTTTGTTATAACTGAGCAGGGTACTCTTGACTTCTAGAGGATAGAAGCCAGAGACAGTGCTTGTATGCAATATTAGTTTCCCAAGGCTGCCATAACAAGACACCACAAACAAATGGCTTAAGACAACAGCAATTTGTTGTCTCACAATTTTGGAAGCTAGAAGTCAAAAATCAAGGTGTTGGCAAGGCTACACTCCCTCCAAAGGCTCTAGGGAAGAATCCTTCCTAGCTTCTGATGGCTCCCAGCAATCCTTGGCATTCCTTGCCATGTAGCTCTATCACGCCAATCTCCTTCTCCATCTTCACATGACCTTCTTCCCTGGGTCTTGTGTGACCTCTCCTCTTTCTATAAGGACACTAGTCATTAGATTCAGGGTCAACCCTAAATCGAAGATGATTTCATCACAAGATCCTTAACTATTTACATCTACAAAGATCCTTATTTCAAACAAGGTCACATTCTGAGGTTCCAGATGGACCTGAATTTTCAGGGATGCTTTTCAACCCACTACACTGTTAAACACCCTTCAAGGCACAGGACAATTTCCCACAACAAATATTTATGTCAAAATATCAATAGTGGTGAGGTTGGGAAACCCTGCTTCTGAGGGAGGCATTTCTTCTCTGGGAAGCAAGGAGAATGTGTCTCTGCTAATCCAGACAGCTACAAACAAAAAGGGTCTCAGAGCAGCTTAAAGTCCAGAGGCCACCCTCACCCTCCATTCTTCTGGGACCACTTCTTCTGACAGCCTCCAGTATCTCCATGTGGATGCTGCCCCCTGACTGGCATTTTTGTAGCACTCTGCATTTTGACTTAAGAATCACATGATCAGATCCACCCAAAGTATAAGCTTCAACCATAAATGAAAAGTGTCTGGCCTCTTCTTCCCCAAAAAGAAAGCGGCTCAAAAAGCAAACAAAGGAACTCGGGCTCACAGGCAAGTGATATTTGCACGTTATGGGAAAGGGACCAGCCCTTCAAGGTGGACCATCATCCGATGACTGCCAGAGCACTTTCTCCATTCTTTCAACAAATATTTGTCAAGCGCCGACTGTGAGCTTGGCCCTGGGGATGCAGCAGCAAGCAGCAAGGCTGGTGTGTCTGATCATGTGGAGCTGCCAGTCTGATGTAAACAATTACAGTCCAGTGGGGGAGTGCTATAACAGGGAAGTACAAGGTGCCCAGGTTGCAAGGGGTCATGGAAGGCTTCCTGGAACAAGGGAGGCTTAATCTGAGATTTGAAGACTGAGTAGGATTCAAATCCAGGTGAGTCAGACTCGTAAGTCCGAACTCAAGCACAACTTTAGCCCCTAAGCGAAGACCAAAAGCAGAGTTGTTTTGGGAGAATCGAAAGCTTGTGCAAAGGCCCAAAGAGGAGAGCGAGCACATTTGGGGAATTGAAAGATGGTCATCTATGCTTCACCCCTTTAGAAGAAAGCAGGGAAGATTATTACTAACATCCACCTTCTGGTTTTCCTTCAGAAAATCAGAATCAGAGGTGTAGTTAAGGGCTAGGAGCCATAGTCAACATCACTTGTGTCTCCTGCTTCCTCTGGATCATAGAGGAGCAAAGGGGTTAAGATCCTGGGCTCTGGGGCCAACACAACCTGAGTTCCAATCTTGCCCCAACCAGTTACTAGTTGTGTGGCTTGGAGCAGGTCAGCTCACTGAGCCTCGTTCCTCATAACCATAGTGCTACCCCCTAGAGGTGTGTGTGTGTGCGCGCACGTGCGCAACTGAGGGGGCCGTGAGACCACTCCTGTAAGAGCTTAGCACATGGCTTGGCACCCAAAAAGACCCCAGGCCTTGGGGCTTATTTCTTTCTCATCTTTGGCTGTGAACCCAGGCCCAGCATCCTCCTGCATCCAGTTGCCAGGGAAGCTCTGTGGACTGAGATGAGGGATGCAGGAAGTGGGATAAGTAAACAGGCCCTCTCTTAGGGTATTCTTTTTTTTTAAGGTAAACATAATTAAAGAATAACATAGAAAAATGTGTACAAATCATAAATGTATAGCTTAACAAAATTTCAAAGACTGAGCACACTCATGTAACCAGCACGTGGCTGAAGAAACAGAACGTTACCCAGAAGCCCCCTCCCAAATACTCCTTTACTGTCACCATCACCACCAAGGGCGATCACGACTCTGACTTCTGAAGCAGACATTAGTATTGCTTGTTTTTCTATTTATACAAATGGAATCGTGCAGCACATACTCCTTTGTGTCTGGCTTCCTTCCCTTGCCATCCTGTTGACAAGAGTCATCCACGTTGATGTGGGTAGTTATAGATCACTCATTACTGTGGCTGTACAGTATTCCATTGTGTTTATCCATTTCACTGTTGATGAGCTTTTGGGGAGTTTCCAGTC